GGGCTGGGTTTAATTCGCCACCTGTTTGGTGTATGAGATTACAAGCAGAAGAAATGCAGAGGGATACGCAGCGCGTGTCTCTAAAGAGGAGGCTGCCGTTTTCCCCCCACAGTCTTCATACACAGCGGCCGTGTCAGAACTGTCGCCGGCCTGCTCTCCGAACTTAATCTGACAGCACCCAGCCATCCATAATCCCTCACTGTATCGTAATCTATTTACTCTGCATTCTAAGAGGATTTTCTTCTTTTTTTTTTTTTAAGTATATATACAAGATGTATAAATATGAATTCATGCTGGAAATGGAGGAAGGGTCAGGAGAGGAAGATTTTGTGTTGTCACCTCTGTTTTTATGTCCGTCTATTGCCTATTCTTTGCACGTTTTAAGGAAAAATCAGTCAAATTCTGTCGTCACTGTATCATTTGAAAGCATATTTTAAACATTGCTTTACATGTAATTGTCCATTGTAATATACTCTGTAAAAACAGAGGTTCTTTATTGACGTCCTTTAACATCTATCTATGGGTTCTTTATTGGCAAACAGGTTCTTTAGATTATTAAAATGTTCTTCACACTAAGAAAAAAAATGGTTCTTTTAAGAACTGTTTACTTAAAGGTTCTTTGAGGAACCCAAAATGGTTCTTCTATGGCATCACTGTGAAATCCCCGTTTTGGAACCTTTATTTTTAGGAGTGTATACTATGCTATATTTAGTGTCTGTGCATTTGATTTGTGCATCAATTATGATAATCGATCAGACAACTCACCATTATTAATGTGTTAATCTGATTATCTAGCAGTTTTCAAGAGGCATCTGTCTTATTTGAATTATAGTCATATTGTTTTTTTAATTAGTCTGGCCTCCAGTCACTGATTGTGTGCCAGGAACCATTTTCAACAGCTCAGACTAAAGCTTAGAAATTTATAATCACACAGGATTATTGAAGAGATCACAGTTTTTCTGTGAATGACAACCTTGTAATCCTGTGTTGAGTCAAACTAAGAAAATGTTTTGGATCAAACAGACTTTTTGGCAAAAATGTTGAGATTTGATTGGCACATAATTGGGTTTGATAGATGATGAGCTTCTTTCATAACATCCAGAAGCATTGTTAACTTCTTTTCATGAGTTATGATAAAAGAGCTTAGATGATCTGATCATGTTTGTGTATTTTGTAGCTTATGAGGACATTGAGTTTATGCTGCTTCTATTCTCTTTTAATATATATTTTAAAAAAAACTTTTAACCGAAGGTGCCAGTGCATAAGTTTTACGTCTGCTATGGTAAGTAAAAGTTTAGTGTTCATGACTCTAGTGCTCTTCACAGTTGATCAGAGATCTTGACGTCTAATTGAAGCAGCTGTCATACTCCACATAGCCTGCTGATCAAATCTGCACATACAATCAGCTATCCACGGTTAGTGTTCATTTCCTGGCTGTCTGTGTAAGCAGAGGGCGAACTGGTTTTCACTGTCGGATCAGCTGCTGCGCGAGGCCTCAGGGTTCATCCGAGCGCCATCTTTCAGACGGTGAGGTGATGTCACAGTCTGGTTACTTGATATGAGAAAAATGAACTCGACAAACTGTTCTTTGCTCAATTAAGAGTTAATTAACTGCTCCCATTTTAATTCCTGCTATTAAGATCAATTATGTCACCACTCAGATTAGATTGCACTGTTTTGTCAACTAACACTCGAGTGGTAAAATAGGTAGGCCTATTCATTAACGGAGAGATGTTCCCGCCTCTGTCACAGTAAAGCTTTTTGGGTTTATAGTTTCTTTCATATAAAGAAAGTCGTTCAATGTCACAATTTCTGCAATAAATATCAAAACGTTTAGGCAACTTAATAGTTACTCCAAGCAAAACGCGCCTTTCACATAAAAGGCCAAAATACTTTAAAAATAATAATTAATTGTTGTAAATTTATTCACTGCTTATTTTATTAAAAATATATATATTTAAAGAATATATATTTATTCTTTTAAAAAAATCTTTTAAGTTTATCTACGCATAGTTACACCGCTTGGACATTTCTGGCTTCTGGCCCACAAAAAAAAAATAATAATAATATAATAGGCTAATAAAATAATAAAATGCAAACATTAATCATAGAAGTGCTGTGACTGTATGAATTTAACGAATTAATAATTTCGCTAATACAACAAACCCTCGTTAATACATTGACCCAAATAACTTAAAAGGTTATAGTTTAATAGGGGCTACCCTACCTAAACTGTGCATGTATGGTCAGCTACTGAGTCGAAGATAAAGCTATATATGAGCTCAGCAAGTGTCCATCCTGACAGCCATAATGCGTCTGTCATCTGTTCCTAAGACCTCAGCGTCAATACTGTAGGAATAAATCCCTCTGGTGGTTTTCCCACCCTCAGCGTTTCTGTAACTCACGGAGGCCTGGAGTCAGCATCTCACCATCTCAGCAAACCCTTCGCTCATCACACTTCCATTTTCCTATTAATGGTTTTGGTCCGTAATCTCTTTTACAGTTTTCACATGTAATAATATGGTGCCAATTGTGGACGAGCCGTCCCACTCGGGTGACATGTGGACATATGAGCATATCAGCAAGGCAAGAGTGGATTGCCTCGTACAGCAGTAATGGAAGTGTCCTATCCGCCTCATGAACCGAGAGAAAATTCTTCGTTTGGAGGACAGTCCATCAAAAAAAAAAATATATTGACTGAAGGAAATTAGCTTCTCATGCTTTTTGGTGTAGGCTAATAATTCGCTTTCTTTTCATTTAAATAATTTTATTCGTTTAGTTTGAATCATTTAACACCGTTTTTATTTTAATAACAGGACCTAATAAATATATAGGCTAATAGGCCTAATAATAATAGGCTAATAACAGTTAAAAATAACTATCTAAAACTAACGTAAAGCTTTCTCAGTGGCCTAAATTGTATTTAAGTTGTGGCCTGTAACTCAAACTTCTGTCAAAGGCAGATGCCCTCCAGGTGAAAACTGATTAAACAATATCTTCTGGTTGAATAAATGACAATATAATAGCCGAGCTAGTTCTCAGAACGGAAATTTAAAATGAAAGCACGGCTTTTTTTTGTGACAAAATGTATAGCTACGCGAAATATCCGACCAATAGCCTAGGTTAAGTGGGAGTGTTTAATCATCTTTATCGTTATGTGTAGGCCTATTACATATATAGCCTACTTTTTACTATTTTTTATTATTTTTTATTTTTTAATTAAAAAGTTTAAGCTAAATTAGTATGAGAAGAACGTTCCTCTTACCTGCATCCATAACATTCAACTCGACTTGAATCTAAAATAATGGTTTTACATGCAAGGATTTACATTTCGAAAATAGGCTAATTCTATTTCAGAATATGAATAAAATTGTATAAACGTTGGCAGTTGATGGGTGCTTAAATCACTGATGACGTAAGAGGCTTAAGGCAAGGTGTGACTTTTTAGAAACCCCGTGAAATAGCCTATGTATTATAAATATAGCCTATTAGTTTTCCGCCTTGCCAACAAGTGTAGGCTATGTAAGGACGAAATATCTGAAGACTGGAGCGTGATTTATTCCGGTAGCATTTCATCCAAAAAAAAAAAAGAAAAAAGTTGGCTGTTACTATTAGAGTGTAAAATAAATGACAGACTCTTTGAGTTAATGGACATGGATTCACCTCGCCAGAATTATATGCCAGCTTCAGTTGAAAGTGTTAGAACGAACAGGCCCTATAATGTTTTCTCTCTCACCCCTCGGGCTTAAGCAGGTGCTCCACGCGAGGGCGTGTCCGAGCTCCTCAAATTATTCCCCAGGAAGACAGGACGCAAATGTTTGTTTGATGCAAATCGTACAAATCCATTCATGTTTATGTAGTGTCGCTGAGCTGCGGTGGCGTCTCAATGCGAGCACAGTAAAACAAATACGCGCAATGTTCTCCTGAGCGAAGTGTTGATTCAGCTGCCAGGCCAACACATCAATAATTAGCACACAGCAATACTGAAGCTGATTAAAGTCGTGCGAATGGGTTGTTATTTTCTTATTAGCAATAGCCTATGCTGTCGATGATATTGTTCTGAAAACATGCAGAACGTGATATTCATACAACTTAGAATAGGTGCATTCAGTTAAGACATGTCAAAGTAGCCTATATCTTCCAATGCGCATGTATTTGTCATATAACAAATATTTGATGATTTTAATCTAAATGAATATAAAACATAAAACGTAAAAAATGCAGGCCTTCCTGTATGTTGACAAGCGTATAAACAATTTACCTGTGCACATTCTTTCTATCCGCTGCTTAATCGACCAAAAAGAAACTTCTTCTGTTCGAACACGTTCATCTAAACAGCTTTGCCGAGCCCTTGTTTTTCTCCAGCTATTTCTTTAATGGCCCGGTGCCTGACGGCTGCCTCCCTCCCGCTTTTGACCCATTAACCCAGACCCACCCACGTCATTACCGAATCAGAAGAGGCGATATCGCTCCGGGTTATTTTGGCGAAACGCTCTTGTGCTCCAGAGCGCGCGGAGATTCTGCTGGGAAGCAATTATCGCGAGCGCATTCAATTACGACCTGATCAAATGCGTTAATAAATATTTAAGAAATTTTGCGGTGCCGTGGACTTTACCAGTTTGCACAAAAGACCTTCAAACGATTGTAGGTTTTCTAAAGACCAAATGAATATAATTCAAGTCCAAGGTTTGAGTTTTAATCAGTTTTTACACCCCTGCACACACACATTTACAACATCCATAGCCTATCCATAGCAAATAACCGGTTTATTAAGGAGCAAAAACTTAATCCTTTCCACATAACGAAAAATTCAATCAGTGGCATGTGATTTCACACACGCCCCTTAAAATCTTCACAGTCCGATGAAAATAAACCAATGAATTGCCTCAAGTTTGGTGCAGATAATCATTCAGCCCTCGATATGGTGCACAGGTTAAAAAATAAAAAGTTGTATTATGCATGTAAAATTCGTTCTAAATCCAAACATAATCCAGCATCTCACCAAATAAATAAAATTGAGGTGCGTTTATTGTATTTTTTATTTATTTATACGTTCGTTGAGAGTTGAAAACATTTGCAACACGAAAGTAAATGTTGGATGTTAAAATTTGACATACCCCAGTCAGAAGTCATGTGAAAGTTTGGTAGTTAACTGATCTTTATTACGGACATGAATGTAATGATCTGCGCCTGCAGTACATTCGGCTTTTCACTGGCATTTGGGAATTCTTCCTTAAACCACATTTCATCATCCACATGTTTTTTTTTCTTTTTCGGTTAGAGCAATTAAGTCAAGTGCTGTTAAATGCATCCAACAATTTTAATCATGCCCGTGCTCCTTCACCGCAACAAATCTTCAAATGCTAGGTTTACCTAATGGAATATCACAGCCAAATATCCCCCCACCCCCAGCTCTAAAAATGTCCAACGTATAATTAAGATTCTTTTTTTCTAAATTTTAATTTTTTCCACACGGTGTTCAATATAAAATCCTATTTATTTATTTTTTTTCAGGGTAACAAAAAATGGTTCAGTATATCAAATAAGTACAGCGGCCAATTCTTGATCTTTGGATTATTTGGGAAAAAGATTTACATAAAGTCGTTTCAAAGTCTTATTAAACCATTTGAAATCCAGTAACACCAACTAAATATGGTCAATGTAACTGACCCAAATACATATGTACACAATTCAGCTCCGTTAAGCTGACTAGAATCTGTCATCCTAAAAAATAACCATATTTAGAAAACGAAACAGCTGTACAGGGTTTGAGAGGTGGAGGTAAAGCGGTCGCTGAGCGTTCAGTGTCCTGTGTAGAAAAACGGTAATCCAGATCAGGCAGGAGAGTGACGCGAGTCCGCAGAACACTTCAGAACCAGAACTCTGGGTCGTCGAGGAAATCGAATTCTCTTCATAAACAAAAAGGGGAAAACTAGCTTTCATTTCCCTCCACAACTTTGCCGCTTTCCCCCTTTCTTTTCTCTCTAAAAAAAAAAGGGGGCTAACTTTTAAAAATGTGACGAACATCTAACTATTTTGTTAAAATCTGCAAGTCCATATATATATTTTTTCCCTTAAACTCAGCACACTATTAAAACAGAGATGGTGAAAATGGAGGGCATTTAAAAAAAAAAATTCAGATCACAAGACTTGGAACCTCCAGGACGCTTGGTCTTTGTAGTCCAAACAGTCTGTAGTGTTGAAGTTGAGCTTCCAGGAGGAGGCTGTTTGCTCCTTGTAATCCAGGCAGTCAGAAGAATTGAAGGCCAGGCCAGTGCCACTGTAGGCCTGGTGATGATGGTGGTGGTGATGTCCTGAGGACTGACTGATGTGGTGGTGGGGGTGCGTGGGCATGGACGACGCCGTCATGGGGCTGAGCTGATGAGGGTGGTGGTGAGTGTGCATGGGGGCCAGATAGGAGCCACAGTCCACTCCGCTGAAGTAAGAACCGGAAGGAGCCGGGTAGCCCTGGCTGTAGCCAGTGGTCTGGTTGTAGGGCATGGGGTAGGAGGAGCCAGCAGTGCCTGAGACGGAGCGCTGCATGCAGGAGGTGTTTGAGGGAGCGACGGGCTCCGGCAGGGAGACAGACGGGGGTGCAGAGCCTGGAGAAATGGCAGGGCTCCAGATTGAGGAGACAGTACTGATAGAGGTAGAGGTGCTACTGATGCCTGTGTTATTGGTTGAGGAAGAGGAGGAGGAGGAAGAGCCAGCGCTGGAGACAGCAGGAGGGGTAAACTGGCCGCTGCTCTCTGAGCCCGTGCTCTCCCTGGTGGGTGAGGATTTCTTCTTTGCGGGCCGAGCTTTTGTGCTGCTGCCACTCTGCTGCTGCTGACGACATTTAGCGCGACGGTTCTTAAACCACACCTGCAGGACAGAGAGAGGAAACAAACACTTAAAATACGCTTTGAAATTCTGGTCGAAGAACAGCTTAAAAAAAATAGAACCACAAAAATACGATAGCACAGAGTCCATTACACCCAGTAGACAAACACGCATGAACACAGAGCTCCATTAAATGATTATGGAGACCTTCCGTGCATGTCTGAAGGACATGTTGGAGAGCCATTGTGCAATATCAGAGTGGAAAATAGCTAGTTATTAGCAGTTCCTGGCTTTAATTTGAATGCAGGGCCTTTCTGCTTTACTGTGTGGCTCTAATTTCAGTGCTTGTAGATGGCTGGGTGATAGCAGCCTATTGAGTTTCTCCGCAGAGATGGTAATTCAATAGCGGAAGGAGGGTCTGACCGTGTAAAGCGTTTTGTTTCATGTGCTTATTAAGAGCAAATAAAATTGCTTGGGAAATTGACAGAGGGCTGCTCCTTTAGGCCTCGGATCACTTTAGAAAAAGCATTATTTGCATGAAAAATCCACAGTAGTAGACTGTGGGAATTTTACATTTCCTAATCTCTGATATTTACATCAACTTCAAGGTAGAGTAAGTCTTTTATTCACAGTGATCCTCTGTGTACAGGTCCTTTATATATTTTGTCTAAATTAGCCACATTTCTTCAGTGCGGTTAAATCAGTTCGGTATGCACAAACAAATGCACACTACTTTGGTTTGGAGAGTACAAATTATTCTAGCATAATTATTACATTCTGTCATGCTGCATAATTA